ATAGACAGAGGTCCTTGCATACACTCCTTGTGCCTGATCTTCGTCTCTTAATGAAGATGGGAATACATGTACCAGTGGACTTCTAATAAAGTCTGAAAAGGATTCCTGGGGGGAAACTAAATCTTTTTTTTTTTTTTCCCGAGATGGAGTTTCACTCTTGTTGCCCAGGCTGAAGTACAATGGCACCATCTCGGCTCACCGCAAACCTCTGCCTCCCAGGTTCAAGCGATTCTCCTGCCTCAGCCTCCTGAGTACCTGGGATTACAGGCATGTACCACCAGCCCGGCTAATTTTGTATTTTTAGTAGAGATGGGGTTTCTCCATGTTGGCCAGGCTGCTCTTGAACTCCCGACCTCAGGTGATCCGCCCGCCTCGGCCTCCCAAAGTGCTGGGATTACAGTCGTGAGCCATCGTGCCTGGTCGAACTAAGGCTTAACATAAAGGTAAACATGGTAAGATGACTTTGTAAACATGTTAGATTAAGGTCAGTATGACAGCCACTTTGCTAGTTGGACAAATTTTGATAATGACTCATGGGTTTTTGTTTTTTGTTTTTTTTTGAGACGGAGTTTTGCTCTTGTTGCCCAGGCTAGAGTGCAATGGTGCAATCTTGTCTCATTGCAACCTCCACCTCCCAGGTTCAAGCAATTCTCCTGCCTCAGCCTCCTGAGTAGCTGGGATTACAGGCATGTGCCACCACACCCGGCAAATTTTGTATTTTTAGTAGAGATGGGGTTTCTTCATGTTAGTCAGGCTGGTCTCGAACTCCTGACCTCAGGTGATCCAACCGCCTCAGCCTCCCAAAGTGCTGGGATTACAGACGTGAGCCACTACACCCGGCCGATAATGACTCATGTTTTTAAAACGTGATTCAGTGGGCTTCACTTATTATTCTGAAAAAAATACAGCATGATTGCTAGCATCATTAATTCTTTTAAAATATACTTGTTAAATATTTATTACAATGAGAGCCCTGTTGAGATATGGAAGGAACAAAAAAGCATTATCCATTCCTTGTCACAACCCATAAGCTATGGAAATTACAAGTTTGAGTTTCTTTTCAGAAGTTTCTAAATGCAAATAAAATATGATTATAATTTTTTTGTTAATTTAATTATTTTTTGTGACAGAGTCTCGCCCTGTTGCTCAGGCTGGAGTGCATGGCATGATCATGGCTCACTGCAACCTCTACCTGTCAGGCTTAAATGAACTTCCTGCCTAAGCCTCCTGAGTAGCTGGGACTACAGGACACTGCAACCATGCCCGGCTAATTTTAATTTTTTTTTTTTTTTTAAAGAGACAGGGTCTCACTTTGTTGCCAGGCTGTTTTCAAACTCCTGGGCTCAAGCAGTCCTCCTATCTTGGCCTCCCAAAGTGCTGGGATTACAAGTGTGAGTCACTGCGCCTGGCCCGAAGATTCTACTTCTATTTCACCTATGGTACTTCCTCCTCTTTATGTCCTTTATTCTCTGTAATGTATTAAAGAATAAGAATTTTTATGGCCGGGTGTGGTGACTCACGCCTATAATCCCAGCACTTTGGGAGGCCGAGGCGGGTGGATCACGAGGTCAGGAGATCGAGACCATCCCAGCTAACACAGTGAAACCCTGTCTCTACTAAAAATACAAAAAATTAGCTGGGCGTGGTGGTGGGCGCCTGTAGTCCCAGCTACTCAGGAGGCTGAGGCAGGAGAACGGTGTGAACCTGGGAGATGGAGCTTGCAGTGAGTGAAGATCATGCCACTGCGCTCCAGCCTGGGTGACAGAGTGAGACTCTGACTCAAAAAAAAAAAAAAAAAAAAGAATTTTTACATCATACTTTGTCTAGTAATTCTACTTTTAGGGACCTTGGTTTCTTCATCTGCAAAATGGAGACTGTAACCTCATAAGGAAGTTATTTAAATGAAGTGTTAAATTGTTAAAACTAAGTGGTAATGTACAATCAGTGCCTGAAACACAATCAGCACTCAACAATTTCTATCTGTATCTATAATTATTATTATATTAATGCCATTGCATTCTTCTCACTCAAGCTTGAAGACATTTCTTTTGTCCTTCCCACTCACATAAAATCAATTATAAATTTCTATTGACTCTGTCTTAAAGACCTTCCTCAAAATGGTCCTCTCTTTTCCATTTCTACTGTCACTTTCCTAATTTCATCTTTCCTTGCCAAATGATTTGGGTGAACAGCTAGTTGTTGCCCAAAGTGTTGAGTAACCAGATAATTCTTCCCGAAACATGCTTTTCTGTTCCTATCTTTGAAAGAAAGAAACAGCTTACCTCAGTGTATCCCTAGTGTCCATCAAATAAAGCACAAATGCTGCTGTTAAAAGTCTTTACAGCTGGGCGCGGTGGCTCACGCCTTTAATCCCAACACTTTGGGAGGCTGAGGCAGGAGGATCACGAGGTCAGGAGTTTGAGACCAGCCTGGTCAATATAGTGAAACCCCATCTCTACTAAAAATACAAAAAAAAAAAAAATTGCCGGGCCTGGTGGTGGGTACCTGTAGTCCCAGCTACCTGGGAGGCTGAGGCAGGAGAATCACTTGAACCCGAAAGGTTAAGGTTGCAGCGAGCCGAGATCACGCCACTGCACTCCAGCCTGGGTCACAGAGTGACTCTGAAGAGATAGCCTGTACTTCTGTCAAGTTCATTAACCTAGCCCTCCAGATCCAGTTCATCCTTTAGATCTACTGCAAAGCCTTCTATTCACTCGAACTGGTTACTCCCTTCTCTCATCTCTTATAGGATGTCTAGGGCTTGTTATCACTTCTACAGCATTTATTATCTATTGAAATGTATCTGGGCAACACTCTAAAGCAATGGTTAAAAGCATAGGTATTAGGGTAAGACTGTTGCAATGATTAAATTAACAAAACACCTTCAATATAATAATTATAGTATGGAGTCGATAAATATTACCTAATTTTAGTATTATTGTGTATACACATCTTATTTCCCTACTTAAATGTTCCTAGATGACAACGATCTTCTGGCATTGATGGCACCTTTTCCAGTAATTTGCCTAGAAAGATTTTATTAGGTTTGCAATTAGAATTAATTGCTCACAAACTGATTTCTTATAGACTCTAGGTTGACTTCTTTTCATGCTTTAAGATGCGGTAACTTCATCTCTGTAAGGGATATGTTAACTCTCAATCACTGTGATTGATATGTGATTTGAGTATATAGCTTTGTGCTCAACTTTTGATTAGCGTTAATTTAAAAAAAAGTTTACAAGTCAGGATATGTATGCGATTAAAACAATTGTTATTAAGTAATATAACATCATAATTACAATTAATACTCTCTATTGCACGCCCTCATACCAATAAGTGCCAAATAGCTTGCTAAAAACTGCTTTGAAATACTTGCATTAGTGCTCCTCATCTTGCCAAACTTGTTTTGCATAATGATTGATGAAAAGAATAACATTTTATTTGAAGCTCTCAAAGCACCTGGCAAGGCCGCTTTCCATTTTGCAGATTGGTTACACTGCACTTTGCATTTCCTTTGCTATACTGCCATCCAGGAAGAGGGCTGGCTACACAACAGAATATTTTATATTACAAAATATTCTGGACTTTTCCTAAGTAATTGGCCTGGTATTTTATCTTCTATTCATTGTGACTGTGTACAAAGTCAGATTTTTTCCCCTCTCACTTTGCCTAACGAAAAGATTGGAAGCAAATTTGTGTCCGTCTGGAGCTATGATACTGGACTTTAGTTAGGACTTTTATTGGCTTTTTTCCTGATTCCATTTTATTTTTTATTTTTTCCTACCCATTTTCAATTTGAGTCATCTTGTTAGAATATGTACCCTTTTAAGCACCTCAAGTTTCCTTTCAAACTGGACAGGCAATAAGTACATAACTAATTTTTAACACTATTCACACATTTGTTAGACTGAAGCAGGTTGTGCAGTGGAAATACTAGGCCTTTGGAGGGAGTCACACTCGGGTTTAAATTCCAGCTTTGACACTTAATAACTGTGGACCTTGGACAAATTATTTAACCTTTCTGAGTTCCCTCTCTGTAAAATGGAAATGATAATCCATAACTCACAAAGATGTCTTGGGGATTAAATAAAATAACTCATGTAAATTACTTGGTGCATAGTAGGCATTCAATAAATGTCAGTTCACTTCTTCTCTCAGTTAATAATGCTTATTAGACTATATTAAAAACTAGAACCAGACTGTGATAATGCAGTTCTTTATTAGGTATTTAAGCCAAATAACTAATTTCCCCCAGGGGGAAGAGAGAGAAATATTGAATTAGTTTCATTTGGTGAACTTATTTATTAATCTTTCTTTTTCTTCAGCATTATTCAGTTTCATAGTCCATAATTTAGTTTTCATGTAGCAAAAATGACAAGAGTTTGGTATTCTTTTCAACTTTGCTGTGCTAGAATTGTTTTCTTTTTAAATTTATCTATTATTACATCTGCCACTTATTAGAGATCATTATTCATTATATTAACAGCTCGATTATGTTTCATAACTACGTTGTGCTGACAAACTTTTTCTCTCAGCAGTTTCCATGAGGTCTAAGCATTTAAAAGAATCAAGTTTCAAATGACAATGCCACAGCAAAAGAAAAGCAGGGGTGGGCGGGAGGACGCACACGTCTGTGTTCTTTCGTGTTAATTTTATGTTTGCATTTAAGTGGAGACACATTTTCCTCAAGGACGCAACCTAAGTAAGGCGAGCAGGAAAAGTAGAAACTGAGCTGGAACTACAGTATCATTGCACCTTTAAGGACTGGAGACTTGGTATTAGCTCGGCCTCCTTCCCGGCCCACCTCTGAACTCTGATTGACAGGGCGCCGGGCGAGGAGGAGCTGAAGGAGGCTGGAGAGGAGGCGCAGTGAGGAAAGTAGGGGAGGAGGGGCCGGTCTTTTATCTGGTGGCCAATCGGGGAAGGGGGGAGGAGCTCCAGGCACCCTCCTCCCTCCTTCTCTCTCCAGCCTCCCGGCTTCCCCGCCCCCTCCCCTTCCCTTTACCCCCTCCCCTCTCCTCCTTCTCGTCCTCCTCCTCCTCCTTCTCCTCCTCCTCCTCCTCCTCCTCCTCCTCTCAGGCTGTGGTTTTTCTGTATATGTTTCTGGAGTCCTGAGCCTGAGCTAAACAAAAGCAGGAGGCTGACGGGGTTGCTGGAGTTTGCAGAGACACGGAGGAGGAGAGAGCCTGTGCTTTGCCTGCCGCCGCGGCTGGGGGAGATCTGGCTTTTGCAACAGCCCACCCCCTTTGAGATCACTCTGGCCCGGAGTGGGGGTGGGGGGCAGCGGGGGGTGGGGGGGGAAAGTTTGCATTGCAATCCCCCTGCCTTCCTCTCCTTTCTCCCGATCAATGCATATTTGCAAAAGGATTAAGCCACAGATTTAAGCGCCGGGAGCCCATTTCTGCCTTGCAAAGGAGACCGGACTGAAAAACCCAAAGCCAGCTCTGATTTCTTTTCGCCAAGTGGGAAGGTGGTTTATTTTTCTTGCTTTTTGGAGTCAACACCCTTCCCCACCAGCCCTTATCCCCACCCTCACCCCGCAACCCCTTCACGCCCCCTCCCCCTCCCCCTCCCCATCCTCCCACCATCCTCTAAAGAGGCAAAGGGATTTTTTTTTTTTTCTTTTGGTCTTCTTTTTTCCCCCTTCCCTGTTTATCCTGAAAAGGATTTGAAGACAAGCTTGAAGGATAAAAAGCCTTGGTGCTTCCCAGGAGCCGAGCCGAGGAGCAGAAGAGGAAGAGCCGGGGGCTGCCGTAGCCTTTGGAGATGGACGAGCAGCCCAGGCTGATGCATTCCCATGCTGGGGTCGGGATGGCCGGACACCCCGGCCTGTCCCAGCACTTGCAGGATGGGGCCGGAGGGACCGAGGGGGAGGGCGGGAGGAAGCAGGACATTGGAGACATTTTACAGCAAATTATGACCATCACAGACCAGAGTTTGGATGAGGCGCAGGCCAGGTGAGATGGAGGCTTTTCTTTTCCTTTCTTGGGGTTTTTTTGTTTTTCTCCCTCTCGCAGGGGGAAACAATGGGAACTGAATCACCACAGCGCTTTTTAAAAAAATGTTATTTCTTTTCTCATTTTGACAAGCAACTACATGGCGGAGGAGTAAAATTTGAAGGAGCGTTGTTATCGAAAGTGTAATCGCCCATGCCGAGATGTGGCTGTGTACATATTGTGTGTGTGTGTGTGAATATAGGGGTATTCATTTATATCCACACAGACACACAGGCACGCCGAAAATGCTGCCAACTGATCCAAAAGCGGCCCTCGGCACTTTTTACTGCTTTGAAAAAGTATCAGAGAAAGCAGAATTGTCAAGTTTTGAACAACATTCCATGCCTTCTTGTTGAGGGGGACTCTGTAACATTACAAAATAAAATGTCCCAAGAACACTTTATTTGCAAATTTAGTTGACTCATTACCTAATTCAGCGAGTTTGATTTTCTTTCTTGACTCTCCCGTCCTAAATTAATTTTGATATTTTCTCCTTTCTTTCCCCCCTACCCAAAATACAAAACAACAAAAAAGCAGGGTATTTCTTTGTCAGTAGTTGTCAGCTATCCAGAATATATTTTGCATTCACTGAATTTTGTTTTTTTAAAAAGTTGATGAAAAGATAATTTTGTTTTTAGGTATATTTGTTAGTTTTAAGAGACTCGGATTTTTAGTTTAACTTTATTGTCTCCTAATTTGAGCCGGTTTACTAACCTTCCGTGACACAGACAGCTATGTATGGTCCTTTAAAAAGGGGTGGGGGGACAAAAATCAAGCATGCTCTTTTCCCCCATGCTTCTTTCAGGACCACTTAGAAATGAAAGCATGTATGAATTTTATGTATTTCAATACTATAGGACATGAAGGTCTCATTTAGGAAACATAATAAACTATGTAGCTTCTCAAGTTAATCCACTGCCAGGTATATAGTTTTCTCCTCCAGGATTTTACAGTAAATTCTCTTTCAAAGTAAAACATAGACTAAGTGACAACCCGCTAACAGCTTGCCCAAGGCCGAACTCAAAAGCAAGAATTTTAAAAATCTAATGACCACGTATGTCTATACAATAACCCAGCTTTGTTATATCTCTGAAGTAGCGTTTTTTTTTTCTTTGAAAACCCTGTAAAAAAATATACACAACTCCTGTACTTCAGATGACTTGGTTATATGGAGAAGACATCATTATGTGTATTTTTGTCTAAGTGAAATAAGAATCTGAGTTGAGAAAATGAGAGGAAGCAGTTAAAAACATGGATGTTATGTATTATATTCAATTTTAGCTGCAAGCACATGCAACATGTAAACTCAAAAGTACTAAGGTTTATGGGTGTTTGAAAACTTGGAAATGTTGAAAGACTCAAAGCATTCTAAGTTTTGTTTAAATAGGGGAAATTTAAAAAATTAATTGATGCTCTCTTTAAATTTTATTATGTGAAGAAAAGCTAATAGGTGTGGTAAGAGGAAGATTTCCCACTGGCAATTCTCTTTTGAATTGGGACATAATTTCTCTATTATATTGTTCTAGAAAAATACTCTCAGACATACCGATAAACTGGCTTAAAAACAAGTTTGTGAAGTGGAAGGGGCTAGTAAGAATAGCTACTCACTACTTTTTTGATGTTCAGTCTCTCTTTTTTTGTGAAACTGAGGACAAATAGGGCTTGGCGACTTCCCCCTTTCAATGGCCTAGATGCAGAGAGAGATCAGATACAATTTTGGGATGGGGAAATTTTCAGTTCTTCCTCTATAGCTAGCTCCGTTTGTGTGCTGTGGAAATGCGATATTTTTATAAAGCTGTGTGAGAATTTTTGTCTGCATTTGGTCCTGTGTATAAGAATAGAATTAATTAAAACTATTTTAAAAGACCCAGGAAAGGTCTTTAATACTTTATTTTCCATCTTTTTTTTCCCACCCCACATGAGAACTTAAATCAAAGCTAAGCTTTCTTTTTGGATAAACAGTAGATAGTATGTCCTTTTTTCCTTTTTCTAGTCACACCTTTATAATGTATATTTATTATTTACAAAAGTAAACCATTAATATTTTAGATATAATAAATGTGTTCTTTTTGCTAGTCCTGAATTTTGAGTTTATTACTCCCCTGCTGTACACTACACAGAGTATGTTTCTGATCTCTGTTCTTCATGAGGATGTGTGTCTATTTTTTAACTTTCAAAGGGATTAAAAAAGAATTGCATGTGTTTTGAGTGCCAGAACTTTCCATTTATCTTTACACGTTAATTTTAGTTAGTAGACAGAATTCCCTTAACTAATAGCTGATATGATCAGTATTTTGTTTCCAAAACAGTATCATTCTGCTAAGTGATTCCATAATAAAATAGAAGGAAAGGTATTGTTTTGTTCCTCAAGTGCATTCGGAATACACACACACACACACACACACACACACACACACACACACACCAGGTAAATCACTAATCTAAAAGACAAAATTGCATTTATTTTTCCCCCAATGGGTGCAAGGTCCTAATTGTAAATAATTGAATTTCAACACCTGCAAATAAGCAGTGTGTGCACAAGAGGCATAATGTGAACACAGAGAAATGAATTTATTCCCCATATGGGTATGTTTGCCCCCTGGCAATGCATTTCCATACTCTTTAACTTGGGGACTGAAATGTTATAAATTGACAGTTCTACTCAGAAGACCTTTCAAGCATCTTGTGTTTATGAGAATACAGGGGCATCTGCGGAATGAATTCGAACACATGGATGAATTAAATTTGAAAACACACAGACCGAGAGGCAGACAGTTCCTAGGCTGTGGTCGTTGCATGGATTTTACAAAACTGTTAACCTACGCCTTTGGCTTTGCTGTATTCATTGTCCTGGGAAGAATTGTGGGTTTAAGAATTACACTTTGATTAAACTACTTAAAAAAAAAAAAACCCTTTCCCTAAATGGGCCTAATTTAGGTTAGTTCTGTTCTGTAGTTAAATCCCTACTCTCTCCCTGCTAATTAACATTATTTCTTTTTCTATGGCGGGACTCTGTATATTAAGTCATGAAAACAATTGAAGCATGCCACAGAGTTATGCTTGGTATATAATTTTGTCTAAATGTTCAAATGTTTTCACCCTGTGCATTATCGGCAGTTTGATCTTGAGAGTCCACCTAAGCTATCATGTTGTTTCTTTCTTGCAGAAAACATGCTTTAAACTGCCACAGAATGAAGCCTGCCTTGTTTAATGTGTTGTGTGAAATCAAAGAAAAAACAGGTAGGAATGAGATTCCAACATTTTAGCATTTTCTTTGGCCAATTAAATCACTTAACCAGCAGTCACAAATCTATCATTTAAATATTAAAATTTCAGAATACAAGTACTATCAAGGTTGACCTCATATTCAAATAGGAAGTCCTAGCCCTGCTTTCCTTAAAAGAAAGCACCAAGTTTCTTTGACAGTTATTATCAAACACTATTGGCTAATTTTCCATAACTCTATTTCCAGCCTTTTTGAGATTGGGGCTAAAATGTAGATTCTGAAAGGAAATTTATAGACTGATGTATCTTTGGGGCAAAAATATGAAAGTAAAAGTTCATTTTTTTAAGGAATATATTTTGGCCCATTTTTAAAACCCTAATTTTTTTGGAGTTGGGTATGGGGGTGCTAAACTGAAGTTTCCTTTCCTTTTTTTCTTGTAATTACACAAAGCAGCAGACTAGAGGTTCTCAACAGAGAGTGTTGTCAAATACCTTTGTGGAATGCGCTATACAACATTAGGCTATCGGTATTTGAGTGGCCTGTGATTTTATTGCAGGGAGAATCGTTGGCTTTGGGAGAGTATAACGCCATGAGATCATTCACTCTGTTGTTTTTCTACTTTCTAGACCTCGTATCATGGACTAACACACTTATAACACATCCCAGGAGGGCATTTAAATTTTAAAGCAACAATTAAAAAATAGCAGTCATCAATCAGAGGTGTTCTTAAACAACAGATGCTCTGGGAAGGACATTTAGCAACATCCCCTTGTTTGTTTATTTTAATCCTTAATTTTCCAAAGTGGGTAAAGCTCTCCCTTGTAAGAAGAAAGATTTGAGAAGGCAATCTGAAACCAGGGAATAAAGATGAGGGACAAGGGGTGGTTATATAAATCGGGAGCTTCTGCTGGGCTCTGACTTACCCGCTCGCTTTAGAGCAGTGCAAAGTACCTGACATCCTATTTATTTATTTATTTTTTACAACAAGGAGTGTAACAGTCAATAATTCATATCTAAACCATATAAGCAAGGGCATGACATGAATGAAAGTGACAATAAATATGATTGCATGCTTGGTTGATATACATTGATAGTTACACATAAAAAAGGGGTGGGGGGAGAGGGCACACAGGGTGGCTTTCTTTTTGAGAGCTCTCTGTGTTTTCCTTTTAAAAAAATAGTTTCAAGATGTGACTGTTGATGGAATATGTAATTACTTGGGTCTTGAAATGCGTGTAAAATTAGTACGCAGCTCCTTTGTTGAATCTTATTTGTGTTGTGCATAACATTCTAGACAAAGCACCTGAGAAGTAGTGTTCAGACCTCTAAGTCTTCCAGGTTGCCTTGCCAAAGCTTAACCTTATTGCAAACCTGTTAATTGCATTATTTTAGCTGTGAGATACCTTTTAAAAGATTTATGGACTGTGCTTTCAAATATCAAGAGAGCTTTTTTCCAGTTTGTCACACTTTTTAGTTTTTTTTTTCCTATTAGCCCAGAGTAGGAAACCTAAGTGTGTGTGTGTGTGCGTGTGTGTGTGTGTATATATATATATATATTTTATCTTCTCTCTTTTTTCTTCTTTGATCTCTGATGCTTATTTACTTTGAATATTTGGTTTGTTGAGATTTGTTTCTAATCGAGTATGAGTTCCTGCTGATCTTGTTTCATGAAATGTAGAATCAAAATATAAAAGCATATGTGATAATATGGACTAAAGAGAGTCTATCAGATTTTGATTGAAAGGAAGCCTGTCAGGGCACTTAAGTGTACATTGTGGCCAAAGTGCTTAATTCTAGTTTCCTAATTAAAACCTACTGAGGCAGTAGATCAAAGTGGGTGGGTGTGAATAGAGATCCGGTTCAGGTGTGGGTTAAAGAGTTCGCTCCTTGTTCATATTGGCTCAAGTAGAGTGATAGGAAGTAAAGTAGTCATACTGGTCAAAGTAACATTCTAAAAGTTTTGTTTTTTGAATTTTGTGTCAATACATTTAATGTTTAGAGACTTAAATCTAAATTAAGGTTTTTTTGTGTTGTCTCTAGAATAATACATTAAAAAAATAGTTTATCAAATAATGTAATTGAAAGTGATAAGAATCATTGCCCCCTGTGTTAAGGGACAGACACACACACACACACACACACACACACACACACACACACACACACGTTTTGGATTAAGAGGGCACCCCTGGGTGAAAGTAGGGGAAAAAAAAAGGCTTACCTCCCTCTTAGTCTTCAACTTGTGTGTTGGAAGGATTGAAGGGAAGGCAAAAACCTCTCCTGGAATGTTGAGTGTTGTGTTAAAGGTAGGAGTCAACTGTGGTGTGCTGAAAAGAACCCTTTGATTCTAAAGCACGATTACTTGGCTACTGAGGACCCTGGAACCTTGAATCTTTTTGCCAGCATATCTTCCATGCAGTTGATGTGTCGGAGGAAAAAAGTGTCTGTAAAGTTGCAGGAACCTTTTTTTTTTCCCCTCTTTTTGATACAGAGCTGGTGAAAAGATCGCTTGAGTGATCAGTTCACATACATTCCTTTATTGTTTGGGGACTTTTTCTATTGGTACTTTCAAGCCTCTTTGCATTAAATGAGTATTTTTGAGTTTCCATCTCAAGCATTATAATGCTTGTAATAATAATAGAGGTTACTTGATTTAGGGTGGGCTTTGTTTGTTCGTATTCTAACACAAAGTTCATACATTTGGCTCACCTAGGCAGAACTCTTGAGAGGAACTTGATAATTGATTTGTTATTTTTACTTTTTTGCATTTGTTAATGATTTTATACTTGTAAATATGAAAACTGGCTAAGATGTATTACCAACCTTTTGGAACTTTAAAAATACATACACACATGCACGTAACACCTCCAAGTAGGCAGTGCCGTCTGAATTACAATTGATTGATGGGTGTTTAAGTCAGAAATTACTATGGGAATATTTAATAAACAAAACAAAACAAAAAGAACCCATGTGTCTTCTTGCTTCAGAATGTGGGTAGTTTTTATTTTAATACCTTTTCACTTTAAAAAAAATAAATGCTAAGAAGATGTGCCAGCAAAATGCTCGGGTGGCGAATCTCAAAGAGCAGCTAAAAAACCCTGTCAAGACCCATAGCAATGTATATTTCACATGTGACTTTTATCTGCTCACTCATTCTAGGAATACAGAGACAATTAGAGTTTTGGATCATTTACTGTAACATTTTCTTAGGGATTTTTAAGATCCATTCCTTGTCTTCTGGCTTATTACTAATAGGCTAAGTTTTGCATATGTGTATATGTGGTGGTAATGGGGTTGTTGGGATAGAAGAAAAGGAGAAAAAGTCAAACATATTACATTTCTTTAAAAAGCCTTGAATATATTTTTAAATGTTTCCTGTTTTTTACTTCTGTGTCAAAATCACGCAAGTTTAAAAATTAGAAAAACACAAAAAATATTGAACGCCATTTACTAAGGAGAATATTTATAGATAGCAATGAATAGCTGCAATTGTTGCGAATAGTTTTTAATTTTAGAACATAATAGCTATATATGGCACTTTTCAGCCAATTGTCCTCTGTGCATTGTCTGCATCGAAGTTAATGCAAATCAAATCTTTGGAGGAGGTTAAAAAAATTTATTTTTTGCTCCTTAACGCCCTTTTGTTCTCTCTCTTTCCTTTTCTCTCTGTGTTCAATTAACACCCCCATCACAAAACTGTAGCGTGTGTGTTTTTTTAATTCTACTACTGTATTTCACTTTTGACACCCTCCCTTACTATTCTCGCCTGCCACTTCTTTTTAATATATCAATTACATTATGGGACTTCTCCTCCTCCCCTCTCCCCTTTAAAGCATTAGAGAATAATTTGTGTGTCTATGTATATGTGTGTGTGTATGTTTGCATATATAGGTGGAGGGGCGGTGGGTAATGGAAGGAAGCTATAGATTGCAGGAAGAGAATTCTGATGGTATTAGGCCTTGAGCAAAATAGGAGTAAAATAACTTTAAATCATTTAGAGCAGCCTCTGATCAGATTCCTTTTGGGATTGGAATGGTAGGAGTCATTTTCATAGAAGCTCATTGATAGCCAGCAAATGCAAAAACTTTTCTTGCTGATGAGAAAATTCAAGAATTTGGTTAATTTTTTTTTTTTTCTCCCTTGTGGTAAAGATGCTGAGGAAAGAAAAGGGGATTAAATGAAAGGAACTTACAAGTCAGTTTTACCTGATGCTATCTTTCAGGTACAGTGTGTTAAGGCAAAAGTAATGTGGTTAGACCCTGTGTTATTTATTTATTATAATGTGGATGTAAGCTACAGACCTACAACAATATAACTCTGACAGACATAATATAAGAAGAACTTGTGATGAGAAATGTCCTTTCTTTTTAGTCACTTTTGTGTATTCCATTTTTAGTCTACTACTAGAATTAGAACAATTCTGGCTTTTGAGAAGTGCAAAGAGCTGTTTGGTCAAAGCTGCCAGAATGAGATTTTGGGAAATTTGCTGTCATATTTTCTAACAATAGGAGTGTCTGTGAGGATTGGACATGAGAGAGATTTAGGTTACACTGAAGAATCTGGAAGGGGATTTATAAGCGGGGAAACATAGAACCTTGTGAACTAGGAGCTGTGGGGCGTTGGGCTGGGCCGGGTGTGGGTGGGTTCTATACAGTAGGCTGCACTGTTTGCTGAGAAGGGGGCATTACCTGCCTGCGTGTTTAGTTCACTGCTGGTGCCAGGCCTGCTCACATGGTTTTGCCTCTCCATTCTGTTGACATCCATGAACTTTTTGTTGTGGTTGTTGGCAAAATTATAAAAATACCCCCAAACAAGCAAATAAACCAAAACCTAGATGTTGTACATAATTTAAATTGGAAGATATTTTCATTTGTAAAGCATGACCCTGACTTATTTTGTGTCATAGGCATATCTTAGGAAAGCTTATTCTTCAATTTGGTTTCAAATCTCTTTTAGATGGATAGTGTTATGTTTGAACTGGGTGAAGTGAATCTAAATATACCTTTTATTGCTT